AATGCAACTTCCAGCAGGTGCAAGAACAGTAATCCATCTAATAAAATCAGCATTTTTAAAAAATGGACTTTCACTAATTAAAAAAAGACAAATACCAGTAGAAATTTTATCCAAAAAAGAATAAGAACCGAAAACAAAAGCTCCAGATTTGCCTTTTAAACCTACTACATCTGAAATTAAAGTAATCCCAGTATTAAGTATTAAGGCTTATGTAGAACCTATAAATATTGCAATCGGATACATTAAATAGCTAGTATTTTTTTAAATAAAAGAAAGTGATAAGGATGAAATTAACATTAAAAAAGTACCAAATGTAAATGCTTTTTTCTTCCCTATAGCCTAATATATTAAATCTAATAAAGAAGATACTACTACTGATGATATATATAATAATAAAGGGATAAGAGCTATTTCAATAGGAGTTTTGTCAGCTAATTCTTATTCTGAAGCTATTTATAAAACATAAACCATAAAAAAATTCAACATAGTAGATATTATATTACAATATAATCTACAACCCATATAAACAATTCCATAATGATAAAAATTCTTATTTTTCATCCAATCTCTTATTAAATATAAAAAAATAAATTAATATATATATATATATATTTATCTATATTTATTTATATATTTATTTATTTATTTTTTTATTTATTTTAATATATTTTATTTTGTATATATTTATAATTATCTTTCTTTTAAAATATTTTTTATTTTACCTCCATGTCATAAATTTTTCATGATTAATGTTTTAATTTTTTATAAGACTAATTGTAGTTTATAAACTATTTTTATTTTAATTTTCTCCAATCTTTTCTGACATTTCTTATATATAATTTTTTATATTTATAGTTTCCTTTTCACACCCTTCTGAGAGTTTTTTTTCATTTATATTAATAATAAAATATATTGAGGAAACTGTTCCTAAAATAATTACTATATACGACAAAACCTCAAAGTCTTACTTCGAATCAGGTATAGTTTAGAAAATTATCAAAGCACTTCCTAATACAGTTAAATTAGCCACAAAACTAAATGTATTTCTTTAATTATTTAATTAATCTCTTTTTTTTCTCGATGTTGTCAAAGAAGGAACTAAAGACATATGTGAGATTTAAACTGCAGCCCATCCTATATTAAATATAGAAGGGAAAAAAATATAATAAAATTTCATAAACGTCTCATTTTAGTTCATTTAAGGGTATATTTCTCCTGGAATAAATCGATGAAAAATAGGAAAAAAACTAATAAATACTAATATAAATCCAGCAATATACCAAGGCATTCTTTTACCATATTTAGTATTAGTTTTATCAGAATAATGACCAACTAATGGAGTTGCTATAGCGTCAAAAATTTAACCAAAAAGCATTGAATATGATGCATATTTTAATTATAATACTTATTTTAACCAATATAATAGATAACTTTTTTTTATTTTTTTTGTAAATAATTTATGTTTTTTTACTTAAACCAACAGGCAGAACATAAATCATTAAAAAAATGGCCTATTGAATAGGCGTATTAATGGTTCTTTTTTAATATATCATATTCGGGTTTATAATCAGTAGAGGAAAAATAAGTTATTGGTTAATCTATTATTATTGATTATTATTATTATTATTTTGTTCTTAAAGATATTTCTAATATGCATTTTTTACATGATTATGTATGTTTGTGAGTAGATTTGCGATTTTTTATTTAGGTTTCTTCATTTTCTTGTTTTTTCATATTTTTTTTTTATTAAAGTTAATTATTCTTTTTAATGAACTTTATTTTTTTAAAAAAAATGATTTAATAATATTTTATATTTTTTTTTTTATTTTTATTGTAATTATTTAATTTTTTTTTTTTATTATAAAATACATAAGTATTTTCCAAAAAAATTATTAATACTTTTATGTTTTTAGATTTTATTATTATTAAAGTGATTCTTCAACTAAAAATAATATTTCGATAAAATAATAAAATATTAATCTATTTAAAAAATAAATATGGAATTAAAATAAATTTTTATTTTAAAAATAAAAATCAATTTACCTTTTTTTTTAAAGAAAATTAATAATATATTTATCTAAAAAAATATTTTAAAAATAAATTTTTCCATTCCTATAATAAAAAGATTAAATTCTAAAATATTAAAAATGAAAAAATAAACATCATCCTCTTCTTCTTCATCAATAGACGATATTCCATTAAAAAGATACAAATATAACAATTAAAAAATAGAACAAAATAGATAAATAAACTACGATATATTAACAAAAAGCAAGAATATGCATATTCATTAGGATATTTTATTAATGATTTATGTTCAGCATGTTGGTTTAAGTATTTTGCAAAAATATAAATATATATATAAATATAAATATAAATATAAATATATATATATATATATATATATATATATATATATTTATATTATTTATTTATTTATATTTATTTTTTTATATATAGTTTTTATTTGTATTTGCTTAAATAAGTCTTTTAATTATAATATGCATCTTTCTCAATGTTATCTGGGTAAATATTTGATGCATTTACATCACCTTTAGTTGGTTATTTATCTGATAAAACAAATACTAAATTTGGTAAAAGAATTCCTTGGTATATTTGTGGATTAATAGTATTATTTATATCCTTTTTTCCTATATTTCACAGATATATACCTATTGATATAAATACTAATTTTTAATATAATACTAATTTATAGTATTTTTATTTTATTTTTTTTCCTTCTTTTTTTAACATTGGTTGGTCTTGTATTTAAATTTCGCATATGTCTTTATTACCATAACTTACTTGTTCTAGAATAAAAAGGGATAAATTAAATAATTTGCGAATTACATTTACTTTTGTTGCTAATTCAATTATTTTTATATGTGGTTTGTTTATATTTTAGTTTTTGTAAGATTATAATTATGATTTTGAGGTTATAGGGTATATAGTTTTATTTTTAGGCGGGTTTTTTTCTATTTTGTTTCTTTTTAATATAAATGAAAGGAAACTTTCGGAAGGATGTGATGAGAAAATTGTTTTAATTAAATATTTTTTATAATAAAATAAACGAACTTTAAACTAAACTACTGTTTTTGATGAAAATAAGGAATAAGAAGAATATTATTAATGGTTCTAGTGGATGAAACAAAAGGAATATTACCGATTTGGATTTATATATATAGGATGTAGGTTATATTGTAATATAATATCAACTATGTTAAGTTTTTACCTTATTAATGTAGTTTAGATTGCTACATAGGAAGAAATTGTTAGCAAAACACCTATAGAAATCGCTCAGAGTCCCTTTATTATTATATATTACTAGTACTATTTCATCAACTTTTTTACCAAATATATAAAAGGCTTTAGGGAAAAAACAAGCGTTTACAGTAGGCTAAATATCAATGTTTTTTTCAGCATTTTTATTAAGTATAACAAGTAATAAGACAGTATTCTTAGTTTATTTTATAGCCATTTTTACTGGGATTACAAAGGCAATTATTCTTAATATTTCAATAACACTGATTTCTGATATAGTTGGGTTAAAAGGAAAAAGTGGGGCGTTTGTTTATGGATCATATTCGTTTTTTGATAAAATAATTACTGGTATTAGCATATTTTGTATCACTGAAAATCAATATTTTAATAATGAATACTTCGTAAGATGGGTAACAATTATAGTACCAGGAGGAGCATGTATAATGGCATGGATATTAGTAATATGTGGAAATATATAAGATTATAATTAAGAAGAAAACGAGAATGAAATTTCTATTTTAGAAGATAATGAATATGTTAATTAAATTAAAAAAGAATTTGTTCATACTTATTGATTTTATTTAAAAATAATTAATAATAATTTATTAAAAATTTAAAATATATTATGTTTAAATATTATTAATATAAATATAAACATAAATAAATATAAGAATATAAATATATAATATATATATAAATATACATATATATATATATATTAAAGACAAATTTATTATTCTCTTTTTTTTAATATTTTTTATTTTAGTTTTATTAAAACAAATTTATATTTATTTATACTATATTTATAAAAATGGAATAAAAATAAGAAATACATTTCTAATAAAATTGTGATTTAGAAAAAGATTTTGATGAATTTGAATAAAATAATGAAAATAATATTATATTAGAAAAAATAGATGAATTTTAAGGTAATAATATTGATTTTGAAAAGCCATAAGAATAAGTAATATTTAAATATAAATATAAATAAACCATTTAATATTATTATAAAAAAATATATAATTATATAATTTTTTAAAAAGGTAAAAAATAAGAAATGAGAAGAATACCTGTACCTCCTCATAGATTAACTCCTTTAAGAAATTCTTGGGAAAAAATAGTGACAACTATAGTTGAAAATATGAAATTATAAATTAGAATGAATACAAAAAAAAATGTGTAGAAATAAAATCTTCTGAACATACAAATGAAAATATATCAATATAGCGCTCTGCTGATTTTTTAAAGGCTTTTATGCTCGGATTTGATTTAAATGATTCCATTGCTTTATTAAGATTAGATGATTTATATATTGAATCATTTGAAGTTAAAGATGGTATAAAAACAAAATATTATATTTATATAATGATATATTAATTAATTATTTTATTTATTTTAATATATTTTTTTTATAAATAGTTAAGACTCTTTAAGGAGACAATCTTTCAAGAGCAATTGGCAGAATTACCGGTGAAAAAGGAAAAACTAAATATGCTATTGAAAATGCTTCTAGAACTAGAATTGTTGTTGCTGATAAAAAAATACATATTTTAGGTTTTATTTAATTATTATATATACAATTTTTTATATATATTTATTTAGGATCATTTAGTAATATAAAATGTGCTAGAGAAGCTATATGCTCTCTTATTTTGGGTAGTCCTCCTGGAAAAGTTTATTCATAACTTAAATCTATTTCAAAAAGATATTTAGAAAAGTTTTGAATTGTTATATACTTTTTATAATTATTAATATAATTTTTTCTGTGTTTTTTTTTCTAATTATTTATTGTTTTATATTTTAAATTTTTTTAATTTTAATTATTATTTTTATATGAAAAATTTAATTTATTTTAATTAGTATAATAATAGTCTTATAAAATTTAATTTTTTGTTAAAATAATAATAAATATTATAATAGATTTTACCTATAAAATAATCGTTTTTTTATCATTATTTCCCAATTATTTCCCCATTTTAATATATTTTATTTTATTTTTCATTCTAAAAAAACTATAAGTACCTTTATTTATTTATTTTTTTCGAATAATAAATATCCAATAACACTTATATATATAGACAATTAATATTAATTCAAATTACTTGTGTCTTATCCAAAAAAAAATAATACTCAATTTATACCAAACTTTTAATTTATAGTTAGTAGTTTTGGATATTTTTTTTTAGTTTTTTTAGTTAAATTAAGCTCATATACATATCTTTGTTTTTTTTTTAACAAAAGACCCCATTAAGAGATTTTTAATATATCTACAAGTAATAATAAAGGGAAATCAGAATCATATTATCTATCCCTTAATTTATTCTTCAATTAAATATGCTTTCTCTTTCTAAACAAACTCCTTTTTCATAACTATTTTCAAAAATTAATAAATTTAATATTTTTAATTTTTAGAATTTATCAAATTTCTATACATCTGCCCTTTTTATTCTCTTTTTCTTTTATTTTTTGGTTATATTATTTACTATTTTTTTTTTTTTTTAAATAATCTAATCCTTGAAAGATTCACTTATTACATAAATTCATAAAATTAATATTAAGGAAATATAATTTAAATATTACTCTACTATTTAGAAAATATATGTTTGTATAACGTTTAAATTGTATAAATTAGGTTAATGTGGAAAAATAAAAAAACACTTTTTAAATATATTTGTTTTAATAAAGTTAAAAATATTTAAACTATTTTTTTGATTTTTTTTATTTATGAATAAAAATAAAATAAAAATATAATTTTTTCAACAATAAATAGATTTTAAAATAAACTCAACTAAATTAGGTAATAGTCTTTATTAAATATATATAAGAAATTCATGTTTTTTTTAAGTAATAATTTATTAAGGATATTTATTTAAACTTTCTTCAATATTTTAAAAGATGTTTTTCTTTTTTAAATTATCTGAATTAACCAACAATATAATTTTTTCTAACAAAAATATTACTATTTATTAAGAATTTGTAAAATATTCAAATATATTTATATTTTCTTCGATTTCTTTATCTTCTTTTATTTTTATTTTAGCAATTTTTTCCTTTAAATCACAAAAATAGTTCCTATTTTCTTCCATTAGAAGTTTAATTTTTTCAAAATCGATTAAAAAATTTAACAAACTACAAACTTCTAGACCACTTAAATAAACTCTTTTTTTAATATTTTATAAATATATTAAAAACTAGTCTTTATTTTATCCATAAAAATTAAAATAAAGACTTTTATTAATAAAATTTTCTTCATATTAATTAAAATTTTAAATAAAATTATTTTATATTTTTTTTTCCGAAAAAGCAGTTTTTTCATTCCAAATATCCTATTTTTCTTATTAAAAAATTAAATTTCCATTTATTTTTTCATTAATATTATAACCAAAAACCTTTAAATTTTCAATTGCAATATAATATTTATTATTACTGGATTATTTATTAGTTTTTTCTATAAAATATATTTTGAGGATTTTCCCCAAAACTAAATTTTTTAATTCAAAATTAAAAATGCCTTTTTCATTTTCTTCTTAAATTTCGTTAGTTTTTAATTCGAATTCTTCTACAAAACCATAATTTTAGGAATTTAGACCTATTAATATCTAAATCTTTTTAGATAAATAATATTTAGGTGGCAAATTTTCAAAATACATATAAGGATTATAGAATTTTATTTATATTTTTTAAATAAAACAATCATTAGTTATTTAATATAATAAATATTCATTTGTTTCGTTTGGACTATAGGTTCCTTATGAACTCCAAAATTATTCATAATTTTCATTTAATGTATTTGATATTTATTAAGAGAAATCTGTAGATGAGGCATTAATTTCTAAAAGTTTTTATTTTTCTAGAATTATTTCTGTTTAATAAAAATTATTATAATTTATTATCTAACAATTTTTTATTTAATATTTTGGATGTTATAATATATAAGTATGCCAGAAATTTTAATCTGTTATTAATTATAGGAAGCTTTTTGAAATCAATTTTAATTTTTATAAGTCTTTTATAGATTAAAAATGAAGGATTTTATATTAAATGAAAGTTGGAAGATTTTCCATATTTTTATACTTTTTATTTAAATTAATAAAAATATAAAGTAATTTTTTTTTAATTTTAGTGATAAAATATGTATTATAAATTTAATTAAAAAAAAAAAAATTATATGATAAATTATAAACAATAAATATAATCTATATAATATAATAAATTAAAAAAATATAAATAAATATATAT